GAGGAGGAGGAGGAGGAGGAGGAGGATGAGGAGGAGGAGGAGGAGGAGGAGGAGAAGAAAAAAAGTCTATACAATATTGTCAACATGGAATATTGCCTAGCACTTTAACTGAAACGAGAAATTTCTATTTTTACCGCCACACGGAGAAAAAAACCTCATGCGTGGGGCCCGAAGTTTAAGTCATATGGATCTCTGAAGTGTTCAGATTGAGCATCTGAACACTTAAGTTCTAGTTGTCGAGGTTTGGATCACACATCTGAAACTTCAGTTCTCACATCTGAAGTACTTTGGATGTAAGAACTGAAGTTTCAGATGTCAGACCTGAACTTCGGCAGCTAGACCTTAAGTGTTCAGACGCTCAATCCGAAAACTTCAGAGATCCATATGACCTAAACTTCGGGTCCCACGCACGAAGTTTTTTTTCTCTGTGCAATATTCCATAAAAATCTTGGACTGAACCATATAAATGCAATCAGGATTTCAATCCCTCTATCAGTCTTTCCTCATAGCTTTCATTTGTTCCTTTGCAGAGTCATTGATGGAAGGCCAAACACTTACACATTCACAAAAGCTCTTGCTGAGCACGTTTTAGTTCAAGAGAATGGCAAACTCCCAATCGCCATCATCAGACCCTCTATTGGTGAGCTGAGTTTTTTGTGATTCCGTGGATTTTTACGAATTTCTTGAATTTTTAGCAAAATGGGCCAATTAAATGGGGCCTTCCCCTAATCTCCTTATTCTTGGGATCTCGCCCCAAGTGATTTACCACTTATTTTCTGAGCTAAAGAAGGGTTTTGGCGGAAAAAGTTCCGCGGACGACGATAAGGTGAAGGAAGCTGAACAAAAGTGGTTGCAAAAACAGTATCGACAGTTTGACTGTGAAGGAATTAAAAAGCTCGCATTACGGCATGTATAAAATGTGTTCAACGAAATGGGGATCACGTGGAAAAGTAAAGTAAGGTCTTCTTAAACATGACAATTTTAAATTTTGAACAAAAAATCGCATTTTGACAATTTGTAGGATGAAGCCGCATGCTACCGTTCTGCCACCTCCCCAGCGCGCGTTTTTGGACACGCGGTGGTGAGAGACGAGTGTGGGAAAACTAATGTTACTCGGTACACAGAAGACAAAATTTTAAAAAAACTGAAGTTTCTCAGAAAACGGAGAGTATAGCCATTCAATGAATTTTTTACAGATTGAAATTATATTTATTACTTTAGAAGATATGACAAATATTAACATACCTCACGAACACCCCTCGTATATATATACGACTATCATAAATGAAAGGGCTGAATTTGAAATCTGAAAATTATTGTTTCCTTTAACAGTGACAGCCTCATGGAGGGAGCCAATTCCTGGTTGGGTCGATAACCTGAATGGTCCAACAGGATTATTGGCAGGAGCAGGAAAAGGTGTTTTGCGATCGGTTTTATGCCACCGCAACAAAGTTGGTGACCTCATACCGGTGGATATCGTAGTCAATTTGATGATCACTGTTGCTTGGTCAACCGCAACGGAGAAGTAAGTACTGATATTTTGCTTATTCAATTGTTTTACTACGGCAAGGGAACCTTAGTCATATCTCAATAGAAGAGGTGAAAATGTTCTTATTCCATTGATCATGAAAAAAATGGTCCTTTTACTTTACGAATTGACAATGCAATTTTCAAACCACGAATCCCAGTTTGCGGTATTGCAAACTTCCTGTCATACTTAAACTTCATTTTTCCAATAGAAAACTATTCTACATCGTTCCTTAAAAATGCTTGAGCTTTAAATGCTCGCGTCAGAAATATTCTGTGAACATTTCGAGGTGTCGTATTATTGCTTTGTTCTCTATTAAAAAAATGAAACAAGAAAAGTTTCTTGAAATCCCTCAACCGAGATACGTGGTTTAAGTTTTTCACTGTTAATATTTGTATTCTGCATTCTAGTAAAATCTGAATAAACTGCCACTTGCTATTTCAGCAAAATTCCACGTACCAATTCTGAATATGTGAGCCATCATACTCATCGTTAAAGAAAATACAGACCATATTTTTAGAAAGTAAGATTCCTTGCAAGTCCAGTCTATTATTTGAAACCAGTTAGTGTCAGGTTCGCGAGGCACGTTCATCCTAGGGGCTGCAACTCTTTGCATCTATGCTTATACGTTGAAAAAAGGGCGAAGACCGTCCTTCGTGTCACAATGCTGTGTGCTGCGTGTTATTTCAAAGGACCACCAACAAACGTGTTGCGCCTTCAATTCAGTGACCAGGCAAAAACAAGGCGACACGTCGAGGTAGTAGCAAAGCAAGTAGCATCCTCCATGTGTGAGAATGTGAGATACGCGCTTACGATCAAAGCTTTTTCAATAATTTGAATTCAAGCATCTAACTAAACGTTTCTATCGGCAATGTCGAGTTTTGGTTTTCCTTTTTGGTTGGCTTTTGTGTTTTTGGGTTGATTTAATTTTAATAGCAAGTGTTTTTCTCATCTAGTTCCTTTGGGTACTCCTTTAATTTTAATTTATTTTATAGTATTAATTGAGACTGTAACATAAAGCAAATAACAGTTTTACTTTATTTACTGTAGCTTTGAAAGAAAATTTTTTTCGGAATGTTTTAAATTATATTAACGTGAAATGAGTTCGATCTTATTTTTATTTGCCAACATGTGTTAAGATACATCTTCACATAGGGCAATTTCATTTAATAATAATAAAAAAACAAGCAGTGAACTCCAACACAATGTGTTGATAAGGCGCGTCATTAACTCGCACATATCAACCCCTTTAGTTTTCATTTACAGAGATTTCAAAATAGGCAAGTAGCACAATAAGAGAATTCATACGATCCAACACTTCAACGACGCACTTTGACGAGACCGTTTATTGTGAATGTAGAGAGCTATTCGAACGAATTTAAGTTTTTTGATCTGCCTGAAGCAAAATCTTATCAGATTCTTGAAGAAAAGTGCTGCGGAATAATTTAAGCGAAGAAAGGAAAAATTCTGTCGAACTCCTAGAAGAGCACAACAGGACTCTAATATTTTATTTAGAATGCCTTAACTTCTTTATCAGTTTTTAACGTGAGAAATTGTTCGTTTTCTAGTTCAAAGACGATCAAGGTGTACAACTGCACCTCCGGCTCTACAAATCCGATAAAATGGGGTGAGCTGGAGAACTGGGGAAGAGACTCCGTTCTGTCACATCCCTTCACCAACGTCGTATGGTATCCCGGCGGAAGTTTCAAATACACACGATTCATGAACAACATATCCGTCATTCTCTTCCACGCCATTCCAGCCTATTTGATAGACTTCTCGGCAAGCCTCTTGGGTCGAAAACCTGTGTAAGCAACAAACTCTCATACACGAAAATTAAAATTACCACAACGCAAAACGGCGAAGTTTTATGTGGGAAAGTCAATCTCTCGTCACATCAAGGGTCACAATAATATAACTGCATCGTGCGAAAAAAAAACAGCAGAATAATTTTAATTTGTATCATAATTTTAGTGATTTATTTTATTATTGCTGTCATTTGGCTGCAATACGTGTGGTTTCTACACACAGGATGAGAAAGAGGCAATTACGTGATAATGAAGGAACAACATGCGAATTTCGATTTGATTGCTGAAAGCTTGATCTTTATTGACCGTTGCCAAGAAGAAAGTTTCCGTGTTCATTTTTAATAGGACTCTTAGAATTCAGAATCAGAAATCAGGTAATGCTTGCTAGATACAAGTGCAAGGAGAGGATTACCCTGTTGGTATCTCGTAATAAAATTCTTTCCATCGAAAAATATTACACGGTATTGTGCACTGCATACTATCGACTGGTCATTTAACGGAGTAGGCATTTTTCATCGCAATTCACCAGGGATCTAATCATTCCTAAAGATAATCAGCATTATTTTCATAGAGTAGAAACATTTTAGAGGCGTTTTCTCATTGCATTTAACGCAAAATTGACCGGGAAGGTTACACACGCCCTTGTTTCGCCTTCAAATTTCGAGGTAGGCCAAAAAGCATCCATCGTGAAGCCGTGAACCCACCCTGTATCTACTCGAGGCTTTGTGTATTGTGTCGTCTATAAATCTTGCCTCTCAGTAAATTGGACTGCATTTTGCAATTTGGAGCTATAAATTCTAACTAAAAAACACTTATGTACATAGGGAAACTAATAGCGCATACGTTGTTTTTAAACCGGGCCGAAATTTATAGTTCTTAATTGCAAAATGTGGTCGAATTATTCCAGACTAAACTTGAAAATTTTGGATGCGCACTGACCTTGTTTTTCCATTGAAGTATTTCAAAGTATGAAATACTTTGATCAAAGAAACTTACTCACCAGGAAAAGCAGCAAAATTTTTGAAACACACCATGAGTTTAATTTTATGTGATTTTAGCCGCTGAATTGGAGAATGACATTCGTTTTTTCCTAAGATGCAATAATCTCCCGGAAAGTCTCAAGTTTCTGTGAAATTCCATTTTTTTTCTGCGTAAATTTCGAGTTTCCGGAAATTCTAACAGATGACATTTTCGGATTCATCGCTAAAATTAAACAAAATCGGCTGCCCTGGTCCTTATTTCATCAGTTTTGCTTTAGGCCTGCATGATTATTATTGACATAAATATTGCTCAATACGAAAAAAAAAGAAAAGAAAAGAAAAGAAGAAGGTTCACTCCTAAATTTCAGCGTAGAGACATCGCTCTATGCCTCCGCGGGTGTATAAATTGAAAACACTTTATTAAGTAGATTTTCTTTTGTACCTTAAAAGAATGTTAAGCACCGTGAGTACCTAGGTATATGGTTTTCTTCATATTAATTTCCCAATCTTCGTTTCAGCATGGTACGTTTATACCATCGATTGCAACGAGCCGTAGGATGTCTAGAATTTTTCACCACTCATGAATGGAAGTTCTCAAATGAGAATGTTCAACAACTTTGGTCAATCCTGGACCAGGAGGACAAGGAACATTTTGACTTCGACGTCGCTCCCTTGCAGTGGCGGAAGTATATTGATATCTATGTCAGGGGAACCCAAAGATTTCTACTCAAAGAGGATGTCAAAGATCAACCGGAGGCAAAACGGCATTTACGCAAGTAAGTGTACTTCTTTTCAAGTTTTTCCCGAAAATCATCACACGATTTTATAGCGTAAAAAGGGCCGCATTACAAACTTATGATAATTTGAAAATCCCCTCCGTTTCTTGCGTTATAATTTTGTCCTCCTCAAAACATTAGTAGTGGCACCTTACATCCAAGAGCATTCCAATGTCGCTAACCTTGCAAACATAAACGATCATCTAAACTAGTTTCACCTCTACTCCCAATAAACTATGAATTCAATACGAAAATTACTGTCGCAAAGTTTACTTTTTTCAAAGAATGTACCTAAGTTGCACAGTCCCAGCAACATTGAAATGCTCTTAGTTCCTTTTTGCAAAATGCGATCCAATTGGTTGTTGCTGCAAAAAATTAGTTTCCCACAACCTGCTATACAATGCTCCAGTGACCATGTAAGTTGACCCGAGCACTAACTTTTCGGGAAGAAAGCCTTTCCCCTACCTGGTTTCTCACTTAATATCCGCCCGAGTTTCGCATATCTTCCGTTTCTCCTCATCGCAGCTTCCATCAAACCGCAATTGCCCGGAAACTAGGACCGCACATCTTATCTGATAAAATCGTTCGCCCTTTAGACCGATTCTGGGGGGTTAGGCTAGACTAGTCGATGAGTCAACTGTTAGTCTAATTTCATTACGTGAATGCAGAAGAAAAACGGGGTAAAAGAAAACACTAGTGCGTGATCAATTTTAAAGGACAATTTTTTAATTTCTCCTACGACTTTAAATAGATTAAAACGCGTAATATCCAAAATCTAAGCTCAGATTTGGATTCCTCGTGAAAAACTAATGCGATTTCTTGCATCATATATTAGAATAGCGTGAAGGAAAGAGGTAAAAAAAACACTGATGTGTGATCAATTTTCAAGGACAATTCTGTAAATTCTCTTACGATTTTAAATAGGATAAAATGCGTAATATCCAAAATCTAAGCTCAGATTCGGATTCCTTGTGAAAAATTGATGAGATTTCATGTATCATTTGTTAGAATAGCGTGAGGGAAAAAGGTTTAACGACGCGTACCTATAGATTCTGTCGTACTTCCCCTTTGAACTACGCCGCCGCCTGTCTCCCGAGTGAAACCGAACGGGGAGGCGCCACTTAGCGCCGGCTAAGCGTTCGGTTTCGTCGCGAGGAATTCCTCACGATAAATTCTTATTCTTCCTCCTCCGCTGACCCACTGAGCACTACCCATGTTGCCACGTTGCATTCATATGCTCGAATCAGTATGTCTACGTAACGTCTCTTTCCTTCACGCTATGCTCGGGTACGATCCATGAAATTGTATCAATTTTTAACGAGGAATCCGAATCTGAGCTTCGATATTGGGGATCACGCGTTTTAAATCAAAATCTGTCAAAATTCGAAAATCCAAAATTGCTTAAAATGCTATCTCGGCCCCTGTTCGATGGATTTTTCTGAAATTCGGTGTCAGGAGGTATTTTTCGATGGGAAACTCGAATTTTTAGTCCATTTTTTAAAATTCTCAAATTCAAGATGGCGGACGTGGGCTAAAATACTATCTCGGTTTCTGTTTGTTCGAGTCTTGTGAAACGCGGTATCACACGGTATTTTTCAACGGAAAACTCGAATTTTTAGTCAATTTTTTAAAATTCTCAACTCCAAAATGTTGGATGTGGCCTAAAATGAGCCCCGGTTCTGGCCTCCGTTTCTGTTCGTTAGAGCTTTGTGAACCGCGGGATCAGTGGTACTTTTCGACGGGAAACTCGAATTTTTAGTCGATTTTTGAAAATTCTCAAATCCAAGATGGCGGACGTGGCCTAAAATGCTATGTCGGCTCCTGTTCGATGGATTTTTTTGAAACTCGGTGTCTGAGGGTATTTTTCGACCGGAAACTCGAATTTTTACCATGTTTAAAAATTCTCAAATCCAAGATGGCGGACGTGGCCTAAAATGCTATGTCGGCTCCTGTTCGATGGATTTATGGCGCCCCCTTACTATACATGCCTACTTTTGTATTTCTGTACAGCTGCAAATTTAGGGTCAAGGGGCGCCTGACCGTCCATGGACCAGGTGGAGTTTTTGTCCTGAAAATTTACCTTTAGACGGCAATTCTCTTTATATTTTGTCTATGGTTTTTATGCCCCCCCCCTTTCTCGCGGACTCTCTTTTCACTTTTTTTGCCTCCTTTTTCCTTCCATTTCCCCCCTTCTTCCTTGCTTTCACTGCCCAACCTTGTTTCCTTTTGCTTTTTTCCCCTTGTCCTTTCTTCCCTTTTTTCCTTTTCCCCCTTTTTTTCCCTCTCTTCTCCTTTCGTGGCGCCCCCCAAAGGCTGGCGCGCGCCCGTGTGCGCCGCACGCCCTGCACACGCCCTAAGTCCGGGCCTGCTATGTAATTATGACATTGCTCACATGAATCTGCCCTTAAGTTATTGAATAAATGTGACAATAATTAATTGTGCTTTAAATGAGGTCGATTCGACGGCTTTAAGGGATTATAAGGATGTACGTATTTTAAAGAGCTGACCATCAAGTGAGCCGAAGGAAACAAATGAAGGAAAAATTTGACTATTATGTAATTTCTCTTAGCTTCTGGGCCACCATGATTGAGATATTTTACTATGCATGTCAATCAAGCATTGATACAACCACAATCCTTTTGCATTTTATTCAAAGTGACTGAAAAAAGTAAGACTGAAGTCCTAGTTTTTACTGCTTAGCCAATTTTTATTCTTTGAACCATACTAACTGACCAAATTTATATTTTTCCAGGATGTATTACGTGCATAGATTCACGCAGCTGGTTTTGGCTTTTATTGCATGGAAGATGTTCGCGCGTATCTATGGCATTAATCTTGGATTGTACAGTAATTTCATGGATTTGATATCAAGACTATTAATCATCTTTAATCAAAAGTTTAATCATCTTTTCCGATAACGATAATTTTGATTTGTAAATATACCTACTTAAATACCTACTGCCAGTTGGTCGACAAAAAGTGTACTATAATATGACTTTCATAATAAATTTTAGGAAGAAACTTGGTTCAATTTTTTGTATTTCATCATAATATACCGCGGCGGCGCACAGTGGATCGAGTCAATTACAGGGGTCGGACCTGAAATGTTTGACGGAAACTGCAAATTTTGATGTTTAAGTCGTCACATTTCAAATTTTTAGCGATGCTTCCAAAAGAAAAGTTTACGAGGAAATCAATGAAACCACTTTCAAAACCTCAAAGTTTTGTGTAAACGGAGTCATAAGCTTTTAAAGTTTCCAAATTTCGCCTGACCTCTCCTACTTGAATCACCGTACGGCGGAGGAAAGGGGAGGGGAGTCAATTAAATACGATAATATTTAAACAACTATAAAGGCCATGATGGGAAAAAGTCGCGGCCGGTTGATACCAAATTATCATGATGAGGGACCAAAAAATATATGTACTTTTTCTCTTCTTTTTTTCTTGGACTATTTCCCACATTGGCTCCCATTCAAAAATTCTACATTTGATTTTGGAAAAAGTTACCTCATCAAGATTTTAGGCTCGTATCAGAGAAATCCACGACACTTTCACACGTGATTCAACACATGATTAATTCAGTCAGTTTGCTTTTACCTCGAGCAACTATTTCAACTTTCCCGCGCGAGATCGAATTGCATATTTAACGAATTGAAGGGGATTTGAAAAGTTGTACTGAGGCGTAAGCGTCTTCTGGCAGCCAAATCAAAAGCGCAGCTCCCCGTGCCGCGCTGTTTGTCCTTCGCACTAGTTTACTCCCTTATCGAGAAACTATTCCAACTACCCTGAGATCGAATTGCAAATTCAACAAAATGCAGGACACTCTTTGCTTTAGGACCCACCCGAATTGTCAAACCAAAAATAAGCGTTTAAGTTACTAACAGACTGTTTTAGTTGGTCCTAGGTATTAACGAACAAGAAATCAGGGGAAAATGTTGTTACCTCTATCAGACAGTATAGATGCCATTAAGTCAATAGCTGATAGTGTCTGATAAGAGGCCTTTACCCGTTGAGCCAACCCGACATTCTTATGGAGATTATTCCTCTTTTTGCTCCGCTTGGCTGAATGTCTTCTCGTATTGTGGTATGGACTTATTTTAAATCAATAATACAATTTAAAGTTTAAATGGAATGTTTTCTTGGAACTGAATTTTGCATCGGAGGATGAAATGGTTTTAAGCAACTGACGTGAATTATTTCACTGGAAAGTTTGCGACGCATCGGGAGGTGCAGTACACGTAATTTAAATGTTACATCCACACTTTCGAAAAATGTTGTACATCGAGTATATCTCAGAGGAGGATCTCATATAGGCTTGAAGGGGTGGCTACCGCTCCTTGTAAGCTGCAATTTTTTTATGACTGCATAAGGGCCTTTCTAAAGTGGGGATAATTTAGAACTAGATTTGGTGAGAGTGCCATAAACTTGATTTCCTGAGGATAAATTTACAGGTTTGCGTGAAGAATCAGATCTATGTTTATATATACGTTGTACATTTTTTATCAAATTTGGAACCGTTGATCTAATTTCCCATAATTTTTCAATAGAATCTACTAATTTTTATGGTGGATGGTTATCGAGAAAGCTGTAAGGGACGTGTCGGCTTCATATCCATGAAGAATGTGGAAAGGGGAAAATGATATACTGGATTTAGGAAATGTGTTATGAACAAATGTTACAAAGGGAAGAGTAATAGTTGAAAATTTACCCCCTCCCCTCTTTGGTAACAAGTTTCACAAAAATCCGTCAAACAGTAGCCGAGATAGAATTTTAGGTCAGGACCGCTATCTTGGAGTTTCGAACCATGAAATTAGACTAGAAACGCATGATATCCAAAATTTAAGCTCAGATTCAGATTCCTCGTTAAAAATTAATAGGTGCCGCTACTGCAGTTTTGACCGTTAAGCCGTAGTTTAAGGGCGCTAAAGCCAGGATTGTTATTTCGCAAATCGATAGTTTTTGCAGAAGAATTAAAAATTAAGCAGTAGGAGTAATTGAACTAAAGAATAAAAGGAACTCGAATCTACAATATAATGCAAAAAAATTTGGAAAATCTCGTCATGAAAATACAGAAGATTCGAAAACGCCTTCAATACCTCACGCGTTCCGGAGAGTTCAAATAGTTGTATCCCTGCGCCTGATATTGAAGTAGCGTCCCCGCGTTGTTTTTCGGTTTTCCTGTGCCGCTACTGCAGTTTCGACCGTTAAGGCCGTAGTTTCAGGGCGCGAAAGCCAGGATTGTGTTTCGCAAAAAGAAAATTTTACCAGAATAATCAAAAATTAAGAAGCAAGAATATTCTAACTAAATAATAAAGGAACTCAAATCGACAATATAATGCAAACAAATTTGGAAAGTCTCGTCATGTAAATACAGAAGATTCGAAAACGCCTTCAATTGAAGCGTGATACCTCACGCGTTCCGGAGAGTTCAAATAGTTGTATCCCTGCGCCTTAGCAAGGCGATTGAAGTTTAATATTGAAGCAGCGTCCCCGCTTGGTTTTTTGGCTTTCCTGTGCCACTACTTCAGTTCTGACCGTTTTGACCAGTTTTGACCAGTTTTGACTAGTTTTGACCGCCAGGGGCGGACTGGTCATGGGGGCGGGGAGGCGACCGCCCCCTAACAATTTGCCGAGGAGGTCCCGAAGGGGCCCCCGCGGCGAATTTTTTTCGAGTCATCGTTTTTTTCCCGTAATGTTGTAATTTTTTTAAATTTTGCAATCACTGAGAGGCCCTGAATTCCTTGAAAATTTGTCTCTAAGAGACATGGAAGGTCGACAAAAGCATTTGTGATGAAGGGACCCCTGATGAATCCTGAGAATGGGTGATTTTGAAGTTCAAGTACTGTAGAATCCAACTCCAATAATGCCTACGTGTTTAAATGGTGTGAATTTTTCAAAATTTACCGGGGGAGGGCCCCCGAACGACAGGAGGAGCCCTTACATTTAGGTCTCCTCCTAACTTTTCGACTACCAGTCCGCCCCTGAATAATACAATTTCATATGTCATACGTTAACATAGCATTAAGAGAAGCGTCTAATTATGATTAACAGTAGTAAAATTTAAGTATCATAAACGTCAAAGCTCGTAACCATTTGCAAGTATTTTTGAAGTTTTCTATCCTATATCGTCAGGGTGGGGTCGGGGGGGGGGGGGGTCCTTTTACCGCGTGAAAGTTCAATAAAAATAATAATCTAAATAATGTCTACTACTGTCGGAATAAAATTTAAATATTACAACAACGGAACGGAAAAGGCACCTGAGGTCCCCTGAGGGGAGGGGGGTCAACGGGGCCTACGCGCCGGTCTTCGCTGGTCCATAGAACAATAGCTGCTTTTCTATGGCTGGTCTGGCCATCATCATTGTGATCTACCCCGAGGGGCGCCCGATAGTCAGAGGCGACGGGACAGCCGGCGCACAGTGGATCGAGTCAATCATAGAGGTCGGACACGACATTTTTAACTAAAACTGCGATATTTGACTCGTCATATTTTAAATTTTAAGGGTTGCGGCTAGAGGAGGATTTCACGAAAAAACCACTGGAGCCACTTTTCAAACCCTAAAGTTCTGTATTAACGGAGTTATGAGCTTTTAAAGTTTCCACATTTTTTTCCACCCTCCCCATTGACTCGATCTATTGTGCGGCGCAGCGTAGACTGAAACGGCCGGGCGAGAGGAGAGGCAGAGGTCCAAAGATAAATGAACGTAGGGAAGCGGCAAGCGGCGCACAATGGACCGAATCGATGGGAGAGGTTGGACATGAATTTTTTCCGAAGACCGCATTTAGTCGTTTATTTCGTCGGATATTTTAAATTTTGAGGGGTGATGCTCGAGGAAAATTTTACGAGAGAACCAATGGGACCACTTTTGGAGCCTCAAAGTTTTGTATAAACGGAGCTATAGGCGTTTAAAGTTTCCAAATTGTGTCCGACCTCTCTTACACTGAAAAAAAAAAATCTCGGTGTATTTACCAAGAAAAGGGTAAAATTACTAAGAATTCAGGGTTCTATTTGATCCCAGTTTTTTCTTGGTAAAATTACCATTTATGGAATTGGTAATTTTATCGAGAAATCTCGGTAAAATTATTGACTTTCTCGGTAATTTTACTGATTTCCGGTAAAAACGCCTATATTTTTTATTGACTGTGGTAGAATTACTGAGATAAAATGGCAAAGTTACCGGGAATTGATTACCAATAAAAGTGGTATTCTTACCTGAAAAAAACAGTAAAAATACCGGTTTTTAGGTAAGCTTACCAGTCTGTCTTGGTAAAATTGCCAATAATTGGTAAAAAAAGTGAGATGGTAAAGGTACCAACGGACCTTGGTAAAAACGCTGAGAATTTTTTTCAGTGTATTATTGACTCGGTCCACTGTGCGGCGCGCTTACACGGAAGGACGCAGAGAGGAGCCCGAGAGCTGCGGCGAAGGACCGTAGAGTCCTATTCTTTACTATTTAAGCCATCTATACGCGCCTAATTTTAATTATCGTCCAGGTTGTTGGTCCCCTCTGATGATCCATTCAGCTCATCGGTCTCTTGTCGGGGAGCCACGTGGAGGTCGAAAGCGGTAGATTATTGGCCACGGTAACTGTCAACAGAGGTAAGTGACGGCGGATTGGAAGGCTCAAACATAAAAATCACATGCTTAAGAGGAATTTAAGGACGAAGGCTTGCTCACAGTTTCTTACAGGCACGCACACATGTCCATTTTTACACTCACATTATAAAGGTCAGGAATTAATGATACTCCTGACTCTCGTATTGGGCAAACATTTTCCGTCTCTCAATTTTATTTAAAGTATCGCAATGGCTCGCCCGTCCAAAAGAGACGGAGTTACGAGGCGTTTAAATAGTTAACCTACGGAACAGGGCATCTATCATCTAAAAATATATTAAGTATATTTCCTGACGATAAGATTGTGGCAAAAGTAGGGAAATTTTTTATAATTTTCCAAAGACGCTACGATTCCTCTGCCTCGGAGAGAGACCCCCTCCCCTTCGATATATCGATGACTTAAGTCGACGGATTCGTAACTTCATTACAAAGTTTAAAAATATCCGATTAGGTTTCATTTTTTTAACACTTACATGCCCAAGCCAAGTCAAAATGACCCGAGGCTTGCCAAAAAAAAAAAAAAAAAAATCGTGGCTCACCGATCAGGGCCGGATTCACCTACTTGCCGCCCATGGGCCACCTGTATTTTTCCGCCCCCTTCTCATTTGTTTTGGAACATCAGATCGTATTCGACAGCGGTTCGATGTATCGTTTGGTTCAAAACAATAGAACATAACCCCATACAAAAATTTTAGGATTTAATTTGGAAAAGCTGAAAATGAGAAAATTCCAAAAATTTCACTTTTCATTGCCGCATTTGGTACTCGAGAGAATAAAAATCCGATCACATGAGACCCGTTTTACCTCAGATTTCTAAATTGACTTTTGAGGCTGTGGTTATACATATTGAACCAATCGATATCAATATAATCTCACCTGTGTGATCTGTCGAATACGATTTAGAAAAACAATCAAGTGAACATGTCGGTGGGAGAGGGGTGTATGAGACGCGTTCACTCGAGTTGGGCACATTTTTTGTGGAAGCCCTGTCAACACTAACAAAAGTTTAGTTCCGTAAACCCATCCCTGTTTGGACAAGGCCTTCCATATATAAAAAACGAACGAAAAAAAAAATAATGAAAGAACAAACATAAATGTGATTAATAATTTTAACTTCCACCGCTGCGCCGACCGCACCGTGTTGGCGCAATGCGTGAAGTATTCATGCAGTCTTGTAGGCGCTATGCGTTTCACGCCGACTGCTGCTAACCGCAGTGACTTTGACTTTTGACTTGACCTATCCATTCAGAAAATACCACTACTCACTTATCTCCATAAAGAGGAAACGAAAAGAAAAGCGAAATTATTTATTGTAAAAAAATGAGAGGTCGCGAATCATCGGCAAATAATCATTGCATTTTTTCCGAACATCGGCAACCGTGTATGGACAGAGTGAAGAAGAAAAACATAAGTTGTAAACAAACGAGTACAACAAAATCGTCAGTGTCGGTGATAAGTTATTATTAAATTAGTTAAAATAAACATATTAAGTGAATTGTACATATTTTTAAAATGTTGGTGAACAATGTTAAAACCATTAAGAGTGGGAAGCAACGAATGAGTGATCATCAGAAAGGCTTGCTCGTTTCGTACATGCAACGCCACCCGTATTTTGCGAAAACAGGTCTTTGTCCCGGGTCTCAAGATCGCCAAATGGCCAAAAAAATGTGGGACAGAGTAACAAACTTACTGAATTCTGGAGGTCCTGCTCAGAAATCAAGTTCAGGCTGGAAGCAGGTTAGTGCAGTATCATTTTGACCATTCTAGCCTTCGTAGCATCATCCTCGCAACTGAATCAGAGCGAAGCGCAAATCACCACTACACCACAAGAGATTACAACCCTTCTCCGTATGATCATCTGATGTTTCATCAATTTATCGTGATCTCAGATGTCTATCTTGTGTACAGTAGAAAAACCTTTTATTCAATGACTGAGAATACGCAAATCAAATGGTGTTGATATTTTGAAAGTGCCGGTCTCGCATTTGACTTCTATTACAAGGAGGGATAACCACCCCTCCATTATATAAGTTTACTGCTTCAAACCTATCCCCAAATGTTGTATCAACATATATTTTACACTTTTTGATAATCGCAGCTTGCTGCCATCAATCCAAGTGTGTCACCTGTAATGTTGAAAACTAGATTTGAAACTTGACTCAGGTGCCTTGTTGAAGTAAACTGTTTGGGACTGTCTGGAAATAAAATTACCTGATTTCAAACAATTGGCACTATCAGACTCTGTTAGACTTACCCGATGGCTTGTTTGTTTATGTACAAAAGCCGAATGTTTCTACCAAACGTTCAATGATCTCAGGAGGTCGATAGGACCGCTGGATTGCGTGTGGAAACCGAAGAATCAAACGGAATTGGACAAGTTCACTTCGACAACGCACCTCTCATCTGAACTTTGATCTTAATGGCCACCCTCCTCATGGGTGAAATTCAAGACAGATGCACTAAAATTGTTGTATTTTTCTGCCCTTAATGTCACATGGCATCAGGACATCGTGGGTACTCTTGCATGCCCGTACTCTCTGCGCATTGTGAGTCTCTGAAATGATGGCTCAAATTCAATTGCAGCATCATTATTTATCAGCCTTGATAGAACTTTGTCAGTCAGTTTTTATCGAGCCGATAATCATCTTCTGTCTAGATGTGATCGTAGATTCCTCATCACTCATCAGAAAATGAACTTGGAAGTTTAACACAATTGCTTTATTTTCTCCGGATCCTTTTATATACAATAATTAAACTGTTTGATGCATGCATGAAATAAATCCTTACAGTCGGCATGTCTCCACAAATGTTTGCCTCAAAAGAAAAAAAGCTAACTTTTTTTCTGTTTGACATACCTAAGTACAAAATTTCTTTCAGTCAATTTGAACTGGAACTATTTACCTCAATTTGTCTTCTGGACCACTCACTGTGGATCCTGTAACTATCTTCCACAAAGGAAGTTTAGTTTCTCCAATCTAAAAATCCCTGTAATCATACCATAGTTCACTATTCTTGTCTTATTCATTTTAGACATGGGCGGACATGAAATCTCGAGTAAAATTAAAAGCAGGTGAAATACAGCAAGCACAAAGAACTGGAACTGAGGTTCCACTTCAAGGATCATCTGGTCAAGCGGCTCACCTGAATGAAACCGAAGAAGCAATCTATGGTCTCCTAGGCGGAACTGATTGGATTGGAGCGACTGAAAATGGAATGGGGACACACTTCGTCAGCGTAAGCGTAAGATTTTCTTTTTCTTACTGCAATTAGCAAGTTATAGTTTTTTTTTAATGCATTCCAGTGGAATGCTTGGATCGCTCTCTTGCAGTGGTAGATGAGCAGTTATGTGCAATCCTTGCCTCAAGCCAAAACGCAGATGACCGGATCTATGTTCCAGGGATAGAATAAAGCCCTAAAGATAGCAAAGCTGTAGATGCCACCATACCTTGTTGCTTCTTCAAGCTCATTTTAGGGTGTTCTCATGAATTTTCTCAGAATTTTATTTTTGCAAGCCATAGAGCACCCAGAGCCATGGTAGAATTGCAGAGGCTATCATCACTTTTAAGCTTCCAAAGCCAGTAAGTACAGACTTCTTTGCATTTAATGCGCTTTCTATGATTCCATCAATGATTTTAGATACTATTGACAACTTTTCTCTGTCAGTTTATGCCTCCTTTTAATATGCAAAGAAAGCAATCCTCTTTCTTGAACCTCAAAATTTCACTGGCTTAAATGTTTGACTCTTTTGATATCTGCTGCTGTGAGCAGCTGCCCATTTTTAGTTTGTAGGCACTATAATTTTACTCTCTTTTACATGAAGATCAAGAAATGTTAGAACCTCCTTGACATTGCTGTTCTAGTGTGATTGTTTGTTGTCACATTGGATATTGCAATCACTTGACTCATTTTCTTTTTTAGAATCTCACCGACGAGCAGTCTCCCACCTCATCCCTGGACCTCATGGATGATGAAGGTTTGTGTAGTTGATTTCTTCAGAATTACTTTTTAAAGTGAAGTGTTTTTTAAGTGAAGTTTTCTGCTGGAATCGTAACATGATATTATAGTACGATATTCTGCATTTAGCTGCCTCATTTGTAGATTTCTATTTCTTTAAAGGTCATCCAGGTACTCAAGTTTTATTCAACTATTGTATTTTTCATGAATAAGAGACTGGACCTTCCACACAGCCTAATTCAGTCGAAATCGTGCCTGCTGAACTTTGTAAAATAGCACATGAGGACAGTTTTATTAAAAAACGCCAATTTTCATGTATCGATGGATCCTTATTAAATTGAAATATACTGTTTTCGTTACCAATACAGGGCTTTTCCTGAAAGGGTCAAGTCAGAAACTCCGTAAGATACAAAAGCTGGTCATAGAATTTGAGTTGAAAAGTGTTGTTAAGGCTTTTTATAATGTAATAAGAATGACTTATTTTATTGAAGTACATGAAGGATGTTTTAAAAGTCTCAATGGACTCAAATAAATAATTCATCCATCTATAGAGTAGTATCAAAAATCAACATCTATGGTCACACTTAACTGTTTTTCATTTTTCACCTTCAGTAACAAAGAAGAAGAATGATATAAATGTTCATTAATTGAAATTCAAAATACAAGCCGTAAGAATAATGGTGATAACATTTTAATTTGAAATGCCATTTTATAGACTCAGGCAATTTTAAAGTTACCTGCAATGCATTCAATGCCATCAAAGGGTACAAAATGAGATCACCTATGTGTATTTATTCTCAATGAAGAGAAGTATCTTTAATCTTATGATAAAGAGATTATTTTTTTCCAATCCAAAGCAAATATGCACTCAAAATGAATCAATGTGCATAGGTCAGGCCAGTATGAATTTCTTGCCTGATCATTATCTCACTGTTTGATTCTGATAATAAAAAGGGCCAATTTACAAAATTTGTTTCATAGGCACTTGTCAAGCCACCTATTTTACCCGTTTTGCCTGCTTTGACTTGCAGGAGCTGTGCACCTACCTCGTGTCGACTTTGTCTCAAGACTGGAAACAAACCCAGTCAAAATTAATCGTTTCATCCTCCCGGCATATCACAATCAAACAGGAGATAGCAAAAACCAAATGCCCCTCACCATCACATATGAGCAGTTCCATAGTCAGTCAACAAAAGAAAGCTCCTCTTCCTCATCAAGGCCACCCTCAGCGCCTGCAAGGCTTATGGAACCAGCAAAGAACGGCTCTTTCTGTTTCACATCACAATCTGGCCAAGCGCAGTTTTTTCAGCTGCCACCCTCTACAAGTTCCACACATTCACCTACTCTCTCTCCGCAAATGCCATCATTTAATTATGTGTCCTCAACTCCATCATATAGTAGTATGTATCATCTAAATTTTACACAAAAGAAGTCTATTATGTAGTATAATCTAATCTGCTTATCCAACAAATGAAAGGTTCTAGAAAAAAAGTGTTAGAAAAAGCAGGCAAGCCTAGTTCCAAGAGTGGAGTTCTGTGACTAATTGCAAGAGCAAGCTTTAGCAGTAAGTGCATGCTGATTTTACACTCCTTGTCAGACGTTTGTTCTGAGATGCAGAAATTTCCAAGCCTTCCCATTTTGAAAAAACTTTTTTTCCCTCAAAAATTTCAAAATGATGTCCTTTTCACTGCTTCTTATGAACTGATTGCTGCTATTTACCAAAAAATTCACAATTTTCAATGGATTTCTATACAGTGGTGATTTTCACTTTGATTTTGCCGATAATGTACATTTTATTAATACTTCATTAGAATTAGAAAATTTATTTTTGACTTTAATTATAATTTTTGAAACTTCTTGGCTTTGTTTTCCTCCAAAATGGTGTGGACCTAGCACCATTTCTCCAGCTTGTTACGTACAGTTTAGGCCAATTCTCAGTGTTTTTTTCCCTCACTTATACCCTAGAATGACCCGTTTTTGAGGCCTTCCCATTTTTGCACGCGACTAATGGTGACCTGCCGGTTGCATGGTTTAGAGGTTTTGTACCCCTGAATTTCTCTTAGAGCGATTGAATTCAAGTAAATGCTCTGCTCCTAGGGTAGCTTGCTGAGGGTTTTCTGGGATGAAATTATATCTTAAAGATCAAAAATTAATGCAGAATCAGTTTTCGTCGTTTTAATACCATGCACCTCTAACCAAAAATTTTCTCATTTACAGAAAAACATCCTGTGGATGATGACCAAAAGTCTGATAATGATGACAACGACGACTCAGATTTTCGGAAACCAACTGGAAAAAGTAAGTTTCATCAAGTTTCTCATTGGCTATCATGAACTGATTATTATTAACAGTATTTCTAATGAATGGATATTGACAGTCAGGGCCGGATCCACGATTTTGCCCCACCTAGATTCTAACATTTCCAGCCTTTCTTAGAAGACTTGAAAATCAAATACAAGGTTGGCATCTTTGGAATCTGCCACCTTGGGACAAAGCCCATGGTTAATAATAATGACTATAGAGCGATCACTTGATATCCAGCATCTTGACTCTGACCCATGCCACAAGCAAGTAATGGGAGTAATGATTATTGATGTATTCAATATATTAAATCTAATGAAGGTACCTACGGCAATGTCGAAAGATTAAATTACTTTTTTTGCGCCACTGCCTTACTTAATGAGGTGAGGAGGGGGAAACCTGGTCCATCTTTGCCCAGCATTGCAAAAATTTGGAATGGCGTCCCTGGGCAGCACCTTCATTTTTTGTCCTCCAAAGGCAAAACCTGCATGGTTCTGTGGACATGTTTGATCTCCATCATTCATAACTGTGACTATATTTTCATATTTTCATTTCGTGTCTCTGTTTAAGTTTCTGTCTCATTTGCACTTCTTTTGTCTGTTTACGTAGAAAAAAGAAAAATGACCTCAGTTTATCAAGAAACAACTGAACTGTATGCAAATGAATGTAAAGAAATGCGAAATGCCACAATGGTAAGTTCTTTTTTTCTGCAAAAATTATATAATCTAATTTAACTCTAATATAATATAATGTCGTTATATGGTTTTAGTTTCACTTGATTTCTTATAATTTACAAGTATAAAAAAAAAACAACAATTTTTTGATACTTCATAGTTCCTTTTGATTTAATTTTCTCACTTATAGTTCTATTTGTCAATCCTATTATCAGATATTAACTGGAACTAAGGAGTTGCTCTGATTTTGGTTGAACCAGTGCAACACATATTATGCCTTATGGCATTACATGAAAATTTCGAAATGCCATTTTTGATTACTTTAAGTCTGGTGAAATAATTAAAGAAAAATGTTTGCAGACATGTTTTGAATTACTTTGGAAAAATGAATTATGAAGAAGAGGTACGAGCATGACACAATTTGAAAGATGCACTACCCACCCTGCAAGAGTTTCTTTTTAATTTTGAATTTCTGATAAAACCAGGATTTATAGTGAACCATGAGTTGCTTCTTTTTACTGAAATTCTGGTCAACCATCAATGGTGACTTCCTTAAATGTTTAAATTTTAATTTTGGTTTTTCTGATGTTTAGAAAGTTAATTTTTTTACTTCAACTGTAGATTCAAAACAAGGTCCGTGAAATAAAATTATTGAGTTATTTCCTCTTTTTTCACCTTGTACATTTTTTTATTTTGTTCTACTTTACCTTGTAAAATTCATGAAATATTTATTTTGTTTCAGCTGGGAATCGAGGCACTAAAAAGTTTGAAAGATAGCATTGAACTGCAAACTGCTGCAATAAAAGAAATGACACATGCAATTATGGGACTTTCAGCTGCTGTAACGAATGGTTCCCTGACACACGCTCCCGTTGGCCTGTCATGATCTCAAATCCAGAACCCTGGTTGTTTGTCAATTCTCCCTGTCATAATCAATTTAATGAAATCGAATTGAATGGAGTAAAACAATGCTATTGAGTGTAGTTAGATTCACATGAAGAACAACAATGTGATTCTTTTGGTTTTCTGCATTTTTAGTATACATACTACGTACCGAAATAGGGCTCATAAAAATTTATATCGCAAAAAAAATCCCTTAATTTGAGGAAGCATTTTATTCTTTGTTCATAATATATTTTACACATTCAATCAAATTGTTAAATCAGTTTGAATATACATGTATCCAAAATCAGAGCTGCTTATCTACAGAATCAGCAACTATTACTAATTACTCCTCACAGAATTGGCTTTATGTAGGTATGTATGTCTGAACATATTTATTTAGTTCTGCTCAGCTTTCTGAATTTTATTATTCTTTCCTACTTTGGTCTAGTTTTCATGAGCCCTATGTGTTAATATTGGTCTCTAGCACAACATTTATGAACTGGTTATCGACCTGAAGTTTAAACTTTCCGTAGTGTTTAAGATTCTCAAGTGCCTTTTTTTTTTAAAAATTTTTACTCTAGAATATCAATTTTTCTAAGAGTGCTATTTTTTTTTTTTTTTGAAGTAAGTACCTACCAGAAATCCAAAATTCCTAGCAATTAACTTTTGAAAGTACTTGTCTCCTTCACGGATATTTAGCAAATTGAAATTGCCTTTTCTCATACTGGCAAATACTAAATTACCTAAGTGTCATGCAAGCAGTTTTTAAATACTCTCTCCTCTGGTACAATTTTTACTGACATCATAATTTTACACCTAAACTGGTGCCAAAAAGAAAACTATATTATGTATTATCCTTGAACTTGACTTTTTGCCAAGTGCGTTTTCTCCTTAAAATTTTGCTGCCAATTTCAAGTTTCACATGAGGCAATGCAGGTGGATATGAAGATAACCTTAAAGATGACGTTTTTCTTTTCACACAGCAATCTGAGTGTCATTACGCAACAAGAATACAAAAATTAAAAGAAGGGCTTTTTTCTTCATTTTGTAAAGTGGCAAGAAGACACCATTCAAATAACATTGCAAATATTTCTTTCCTTAAAGCTTTCAAATTGTTATACATCGCTATTTCAAAATTCCTGAGAATAAGAACATTCTTTTCCCCCCAATTGAGGGGTTGGGTGCAGAAAGGACATTTCTTGGTTGCGCTGTTTCAGAATTCTCAAAGCTAATTTATATTTCAAACAGGAAACTGTTGGATGAATTTTCTGAAGTTTTTTGTTTCCAGCATTGTAAAACCATAAAGAAAATTCAGTGTCAGTTTCAAAGAATTCTGTACATTTGCTTTAATTGTAACAGATGAAACCTTAGCAGAAGTTCTGAGACATCGCAAGCAAGGTATGCCTATCTGCACTCAGCGCTTCAATTAATGGTGCCGGTATTAAGACATCAACTATGCAAACTGCAGTTTTGAACTGATAAACTAAATATCTGTGGGCATGATAGCTGTAACAATTCAAACCCATAGACTGTTGTTGAGCGAATCGTATGTTTACCCAAGCGCATAGCTATGTAATATGAGAGGGCTGGTTTTCCTTTTTCCGTTTTATTCACAAACAGTATCTACCCTCATCAATAATTTGCTAAATGATATTGTTTCTGCATCACGCCAACTATCGCATCGTCAGCGGTCTCAAAACTACTTTTTGAATGTATCAAAAACGGTATTGTCAACATCGAAAAAAAAAAAAAAAAAAAAAAATCATGGGAATCGGGAATTTTTGAGTAACTGATGAAAACTGAATAACATTTTTACATGAAGAATTTGCAATGTTACTTGTATGGGGTCTTCATTGTGTTTCGGTCCTTTTTTTCTTATTCTTTGTCCATATTCGGGCACGTATAGATGAAATAATGATACATATAAAGCTTCATCGTAGTTTTTTGTTTCTTTCAGAAGTTTGTTTTGTCTCTTATAATTTGTACTCGATTCATCTAGAGTGATTCACCTAGCTTATGAAACAAATAAAATAAATGGCAGAAGGTTTATTGATGTCCTACTCATGTGATATCATTACTACTTCAAAAAAATTTCTCAAATGATTTATTTTAAGGTAAAAAAGCTTATCGGTAATTGAATACCCACCCAGAGTATGTAATGATTTTTTGCAATTCTTAAAGGTTGGTAGGTGAAGATAGCGCCGAACAGATTTTGTCAAGCTTAACATTGTGCTGTATGCATATTTCCACCTTGATTGCATATTGACTTTTAAGTAATCCTTATTTTTTTCATTATGTATGTAAATACCTAAGTATCATGAGCTCTGTCGCCCTTTGACCTGGAATTTTAATGATCAGAATGAGAACGAACGGTATTGCATTAGAACTGCCTGTATAATTTTTTAGAATTTATATTTTTCATTGGTGATGTTATCAATCTCAAATAAAGTTTCTTTTTCAGAGAAATTAATTGTATTAAAAGAACAGGGAGGGAAGATAAAATGATAGGTAACCGTCAAAGACTGAGTTCGGAAAAAAATCCTTCAAAAGTCCGTTTAAACTGTAAGCTATGAATTCCAATTGGAGGTTACTTAAAACAAAGTGAAAAGTTTTCCGCCTTTTAAAACTTTTATCTGTGCCTGTACAATTTCATCTATGTTTTAATCAGTCCAAATAGTTAGAATCCTCTCATTGAGTTTCTAGGTTTCTGAGATTTTCGTAAATTCTGTAGCCTCTTATACTTTTCTCTCTAGCTATCATATATAAGTATTAACATCAAGCAGGATATGTGCGCAGTGGTGTTTAAATAGTTTTTCCATTATTTGCTGCATTGCAGGTCAGTACCAAGGCCCACACCAACACTGTTGTAATACCAATCGATGTAACTTTAGAGAATATTGTGGGTCTTTGTGTAATGATTGGCCATACTAAAAATTGAGTTTCGACTTCTGAAATTTGTCCCTCTTCCTAGTGTCACCTTCAATGGGTTTATCTTTTTCATTTTTATTGCTCCTTAACTCATCATTTTTGTGTAGCTAAAATTTTGTCGATACCGCAAAGATAACAGACTTTTTCTTCGAAAGCATGTAATTTGTTGCTCTCTATATGGATTTACCATTCTCTCACTTGTTATCATAAGATTTTTCATCAGTATTTGTTCCTTTCCTTTAATTTTTCTCCGTTTTAGAAAGAAAAATTTATGTATTTATTTTGTGTAAATTCTTTACTTTAAGCTGTCGTAGTAAAAATTCCATAATTTTTAATCAGTGTAAAAATGTTTCCACTGATCTTAGAAAATTAATTAAAGAGCTGAAAACTACCCGAGCATTTTAATACGGTATTTTCTAGGGTTAAACGGTTAGAATGTAGAAGTGTTATCTATGGGTCAAGATAACCCCTTTTTTCTATTCAGTTTTCCCAGTCATAACTATGCTGGCACCGCCGCCGAGTTACTTTTGGAAACGATTTTATGGAGGAAAAAAGGTCTTATTTTGACCCACGGAGTACACCCCTGTAGTGTGGTCTTCCTGTTTAATCTCGAGAAATTCTGTTTAATATTGTAAAAGTTGGTTAGACCCTCGTTTTTTAAGCAATCCTCTTACAACTAAGGACTTAAAAATTGTGCTATTAGAAGTCAGCTCTCTATGAACTTCCTACCAGAGCTCGAAAAATCCATTTTTGTGTAATTTAGTAGTAGGTACTGTTTTCCCAATCCCCTGAAAGACAAAGTTGTAAGATAGCAAGACTACTGAAATTCGGTCGCATCCATTTTTTGTGAAATAGATCATTCAGAGTTTATCTCTGAAAATGATGAGTCGCAGCATTCTCGAATAATTTTATAATTACTTTTTTTTTAAAAAAAAATTAATAATAATCATCATAATAATGATGGTCTGCATAAGCTGTTATTTTAGAAGATAAATACATATAACAGTCATAGAAGCAAATGTGTCAGCATTTTTCGGGATTGCGCGACTGGATATGAAACTAGTCAATTGTGCTGTGCTAAAATATTTTGAAAATTATTTGATTTCCCCCTCTTTTCTATAGGTTCAAATGTATATAGTCCTCTTTACTTTTTCCATCCTTCATCATTCCATAATATTTTCAAAAATAAATTGTGCAGACAATGTGGTTGTTTTAGTAACATTCCATTCATTACTGAACATTATCTGTTATGTTCAGTAATGAATGATAAGTTAGTGAAACATTCCTTTTTCTCATATCTCAGTTTATACTCAAATTGGGTTTTTTAAACTCAGAAAAGAAAAAAAATCAACCGAAATCTCCTGCGACTTTGAAAGGGTTTTTATGTGTAATTCCATATTTTTTCAGTCCTTTCCCTTCATTACTTTATAGTAAAATACTACTACTATTACTATTACTACTTTTACTTTACAGTAGTGGAAAATGTATAAACCTATGTTTGGCACAATACATTATTTTTTTTATGTAAAGTTGACTTCTGCTTTTTTCAGCCCTTCTCCCCTTGCAGGAAGTTCAGAGAAGAACAAAATGAATTTTAAAAATTTTCCTTAGAAGGCTCTGTTTTCTAAACCTTCTACTCACCAGAAAAACCTTCTTCAACTCCCTAATAAAATTTGAGGAGAAGAATGTAAATAAAGGAACACAATTGCGATAAATTATTTTTACAGTTTAATTATTTTTGAACTTGAAAATAAGTAAGAAAAAGAAGCCTAATGAAAAACAAAACAAACTAACTGAGATGAACAATATTTACGTCAAATGTACAGAATATAAATGAAATAAGATACTGGATCACTTCATAAATAATTATGAAAATATAATTGAATTTAAGTTTATACAAAGTGAGATGAATTTCAAAAACAACTAATCAAAGAAAAATAGGATTAATGTAGCATTACTCATTTACACTAATAATCACAGATGTTTTGAGAAATTAAATGAAACCTGGAAAAGAAGAGGAACAAAATCAATTGTTAAGTAGGAAAAACTACCTTTTTAAAATGACTGGCTCATTACAGGACTGACTAATATAATAGAACAGGGAGCGAACGGATCTTAAATTATCGAAAAGAAAAAGTTACAATTATATTGCTTTCGATGTCAATTCCATTGTTCTATCATTAAATATAGCCAGAAACTTGACTTGTCAACTGCTCTTTCAACTATTTTCTCTAATAAAAATAGAAATTAAATCAAACTGAGGCTTTGGCTTCTTTCTATTTTCTCAACTTTTCAACCAAGTTGAAATCACAATAATTTTGTCCTTAAGATTTACTCCTGATTTCATTCATACCTACAAAGTATAAAACTATCTTTATCATTATAGTAAATTTACATGGTGTCATTTTTGAAAAATAATGAAACTAGTGCAATAAGCATGCCGCAAACTTTCAATCTTTAAATGTCTTGTTATGATCTAGGTATAATATTATAATTCGCAAAATTCAAACAACTGGGAACATCAGATAGAAAAAAATACCTAAGGGACTCAAAACGGGTACGCACAATGTTAAGTCTTAACTGAAAATACAGAAGGTACACAAAGTAAAGAGAATTAAGAGGGATATTATGACTTATAGCTCTTTTGCTGTCAAACGGTTTTTGGTAAAAATCATAACAAAAATAATTTTTAGATTATCTCTGAACTGTATACGCCACTTTAGGAACGAATTATAAAAGAGGATACTTGGAGGCTGAGCACAAATGACTTACTTTGGATGACTCAGTGATGTATGTATGATCTTTGTACAGTACAGACTAAGCTTGTACATCCACAAAAAAGAACAAAAACAATCATACAACTTACCTACGGCTGAACTATTGCTAAATAATTTTCTATCAAGTAATTGTGCAAATATTAAACATGTTGCATAACAGAATCATCAAATGTGATGGATCGTTTCTTCTCGATGTAGAGACAATTTGTTCTTTCATTGGCTACAGTTGATTTCCCACTGAAAAAAAAAATGGAAACTGTAATGTGATGTTATTGTTTCATTTTCACCTTCTTTTATCAACTAATGAGACGTTCCTTTAAGTAAAAATAGGAGGAGAGACAAATTCTTGAATGGCAGACGTATGCTTTATTCTGAATTTTGAAGAAGTTAAAAATCCATACGGGATTATGAGAATTTTCACTTTTAACCAAAAGAAGGCTAATTATGAGTAATAATTTGGTCTTGATATGACTACATGAGACACTTAAGGGGAATCAATGAGTTAGGAATTTTTTGAATTGAATACATTTCATCAATAGACTCATAATGTCCGTGTAAAATCAAAGGAAATTAATTATTGGAAAAACATCATTGTTCTCATGCTGGATAGAGAAAACTATAGATGGCTAGGGAAAAATAAATAATATTTAGAAGTTTCCTTACTTCAAATTCTGCAGATTGAGCTTAGCTTTTTTTGACTGGATGATCTGCTTTTTGATTTTTTCAATGCATGGTAGAACAAGAAGCAAGAGCCCCGAGATAGCTATGAACACACCAGAGAGGTAGAAAGACAAATCGTACGTTCCAGTCACGTCTGACAACCAACCTTGAACAAAATTAACACGATTACAAATTAATTGAAGTTTAGAGGAAAGTAGTGGGACATTAACTGTAGGTGTGGAGGTAGTGAGAATAGGAAATATATATATAAGAATGGTTCATGAAGTCTAAGAAATTAGAGTGGTGTAGTCACTTAAAGAGAGAATTCCAAGATGTGGCATCAACTCAAATGCTGAAATACCTTGTAATTGAGAGGTTATATTAGTGATGATATAATTTTATTGAAAGGTACCCAACCATTCAGAGAAACTTGATTTATGAAAGGGTTTTCCCAGAAAAACAATTTACTGTTCACGTCTATTCACTTAAATGAGAAGGGAAACTTTGCTTCTGATAAATAACTAGTTTTTCTGTGTAGTGCAAAAAAAGTTACATTAATAAAATTACCTAATGAATTTTCATAATGCATTTGGCTTTAAATTTTAAGCCTGTAAAATTTTGTTATTATTTGATGTTCTTTACCCCCTCCCGAGCTTTAAAAATCAAAATTTCTATTTTACAATACTACAAAAAGCAAAGCTGAAAAGGGAATTTTTCAGTATTTTTATACAAAGTTTCTAATTGAGATGAGCGACTGTAAATACCTCCTCATAGTTGGAGGGGCCCTATTTTTCCAAATTTTTCTTAAAATGTTTTTAAATAAATATTCCATTCATTTCTTAGCTCACAAAATCAATTTTTTGTCTAAAATTCCATTTAATGACTCCCTTATCCCTCAATTAACATCTTAATGATGACAGACTTGATCGACAAGATTAGATAGAGTCAAGCCTAGCCCACCAATGAGCATGCTTATACGTGCTGCTAGCGTATGCTTATAAATACTCTTGTATGCAGTTGTATTTTTTTCATTTTGAGGACATTAATCCTTTTCAATGCTTCAATTCTGATTCAATAGTGTTGTGCTCATTTGTGTGTGCGTGGCAAAGAAATAATAAAATTAGAATAAATAATGAAATACAGGAGTGGAAATAAATAAATCTTAGACACTTTTTTACCTGCAAGAGGTGGACCGATTAGATTTGCAACTCCTTGAACTAATAATAGTAATCCATAAGCATTGGTGAATCTCTCGAGTGAAATAAGCTGAACGAGGATTATGGAGGTCAGAGAATAATTAGCAGCAATAAAAAGGCCAAAAGCACCAGAGACAATGAAGTAAGCTTCGTAAGACTTTAGAAGAGGAATCAAAGAAATCACAAGACCACAGAGTGTCATTGAGATTGCATACAGCACATTCACATTCACCCACTTACAGTCTCCGGCCCAACCTAAAATTATCTGTAACAAAATATTATAATCAGTACATGTTAAATTAATATACAGTGAGTTCATGAATGACGGAGCTCAAATTAACTGTCCTTTTTCCATTTCATTCACAAAGACTATCAAAGCTAAGTTATACTTTCAGTTAAAGGATGAAGTATTGGGGACAAAGCCAGATGCAGTGCAGGAGTGGACAAATAAATTTAATTGCTTACAATCCACAACTTGATGAAAAGATGGAGCCATCCACCGAAAAAGAAATCTACAGCTTAAATATGCAGGACTAACTTGATCGTTCTTATATAATGGAATCTTTGAAGTAGGCACCCGCTTTTTGAAGCGATGAAGATAAGTAGCGTATGCACCGTGCCCCGTCATAAATTGTAAAAATCTACTGTTCCAAGTCGTCTATAAAGCCAAATATGGAGTTCTGGTATCAGGGTTTTAATCCAGAACTTCTTCGGTTCGTCGTCCCATTCAATTTGCCATCTTGCCATTTTGTCTTTTTCTATTTATCGTTATGAGATACGAAGTTTCAAAAATCCCTATCTCGAGATGACTAAAATGTATTTAGGCACCTTTCAACTCTGGGGCGCTGATATATTCACCTTTGATGGTCACTTAAGAAAGTATTTTCTTGAAAAACTTTGCTAGGTTTCCATTTTGAAAATACAATTAAAGAGGCAGTTTAAAAGAAGGAAAAATGTAAAAATAAATTGAATACTTACTTCACCAACCATGTTGAAAATACCGATTGCAGAAATAAGGTAGGTTGCATCCGTCTTTTTTACATTATTGTACTTGATGGCGTCATCAGCCAGGTAAACATATGGAACATCATACCACGTATAAAGCAAAAAATTGGATAGAGCAAACAGGAGGAATCGAATATTACTGAAGTGTGAGAAATCAAGCATGTCTGTTAGTAAGTACCATAATTCTGACAATCCTGCATACCACTGAAACAAAAACCAAAAAGTATGTTTTCACACACAAAAGCGACAAAAGGAGATAGAATTTGAAATGAATTACAAAAATTTGTCCACAAGCCGAAAATATTTCTTTAAATTCAAAAATTTCCCTAATAGTGCGGGGGCATACGTAACAAAACATATGTCCCGTGTGCAGATTCGTGAAGGCATATTGTGTGATACATCAATCTCTTCGTTTTGATGTCTAGAAAAAGAAAATCGATGATGGCCATCTCAAATTTCATACAAACCCCCCCAAATTCAAGATGGCGGCCAAAATGGCGGTTTTGGGGTGAAAAAATTTAAAGTTTGCAAATACGTCGTGTCGGGTGTCGATTCTTATGTATTTTTGATCGTAGAATCCGAATTTTCAGTCAAAAGTTAGCCCAAAGGTCATTTTTAGGCCAAAATCCAAGATGGCGTCCAAAAATACCTCTTACAGGTACTAATTTGCCTATTCGGGTCTACATGCATTGTGAGGTATCAATTATTAGGTTTTCAGGGTCGTAGAGTCCGAAAATGAGGTCCATTTTCCGCTGCGGCTCTCAAGAAGCCCTAATATCAAAGATGGCGCCCAAAATGGCCACCGGTCTTGCGGATGAAACTGCCGTTCAGGGCAGCTATAACAAACAATACGTTCAAAATTAAGTTTCTTGGGTCAAGAAGTTCGAATAGGAGATCAGATGTTTACTCCTACAAAAAATTAAGCCTCCGAATCGAAAATGGCTGCC